CCTCCCTGGGCAGCCCATTCCAATGCCTAACGACCCTTTCTGTGAAGAAATCCCTCCTCATTTCCAACCTGAACTTCCCCTGGCGCAGTTTCAGACTATGCCCTCTTGTCCTGTTGCCTGGGAGAAGAGGCTGACCCCAACCTTTCTAGAGCCTCCCTTCATGTGAAAGAAGCAGCAACCACCAGAGAGATTAAACGGTAACTGGGGAATTAGAGAGGCTTGAAAAAAAAGGAGCCAGCTTGAACACAAGTATAAAAGAAGTATGATTGCCGGTTAACCAAATGTCATTAGTAAGTCAATACAGTGCTTTGGTCCTGGTTTGGTTTAAACTATAGAAATTGAACCCTCTTCTCCTGTGACAGTCCGTCAAGCTTCTGCTACTCCTTCCCTCTGTTGAAAAGGAAGCACTGCCTCAGGTCCAGCTTGCGGCTTGGGAAAGAGAAGGCCCTGTAGGATCTAGGGATGTGTCCCAGGCTGTGCTGCAGAGAAGTCAACTCAGCAGCATTTTCCAGGCCCAGGGAAAAGGGATCTCCTCTTCTCTCAGCAGAGAAGTGGCAAATGAGAGGGGACATGTATCAGAGAGACGAAACAGTTATAATTATTCTCTGGCTACATCTACACAGCTTCCAAGCTCTCCTGATTGTACATAGGCATATAAATTTGTTTGCTGCTAAGCTCTAATCTGGACCTAATGAACCATGTACAACCTTTGGGGCAAGCTGGAGGACAGGTCACTCCAAAAGAAGTTAGGCATCATGGATATGGTTGTGCCAAACCCGGCTTGCTATGCCCCGCACAATGCGTCAGTGCTACCTCACCACACCCACCCTTGTGCCGTGCCCCAAAGACATACCAAAGCAACCACCACACCTCTTGCATTGAGTTATGAAAATAAAACTCTCTCAAACAACTGAGCAGGCCTCTTGTTATTCTAGGCCATTGCTAAGGGAAAAAACCAAAATTCCAACATGCCACCTCAGGAATCTGGGGCTGGACCAGCTCAAAGCCTGTCTTCCTGCTCATGGCCTTCTATATGCCTGGGTATTCCTGTACCACCAAGCAACGCTGCTTTCAAGCAAATGGTTGAAGGACAGCAGCCCAACAGCAACCAGTGCCAAGGCAGGAGACTCCTGGGATGCCTCCCAGCTGCACAAAGACTGGCCAGTGCAGGCTAGGCCATGGCATGGGGCTGCCTGGATGGCCTAGCAGGACTGCTGCTCCAGATGTGGATGTGATGACTTTCTGACCTGAACCACTGTCCACTGATCAAGGAGAGCTGTGAATGACAAGACCCCAGAAAGCACTGGCAGTCCCTTCCTCCTGCCGGTTCCCTGCCACAAGCCTTGAACTTGGTCTTGCAAGCTCTGTACTTCCTGCTGGGTCTCATAGGTTTCTGTCCTAGCTGGCGCTCATGGTAGGTACCAGGTTCAGCATCCCCTCTCCAGCACTGGTAAACAACTACAAGGGCAACATCCCTTGATAACATGGCCTGAACTGACAGTCCACATTTCTAAGCCTGTCCTGCTTGTCTAAGCTCAAACATCTGGAAAATGTAGTATCTAATATAATGCTCCCCAGGGATTGGCCCTTTGCCTGGTCCCATTTGAGAGAATGCAGCAGACTGACAGATGAGCCAGAGATGACACCAAAAGGCCATCTGACAAACAGAAGTACTAAACACAGCAGTGGTGAGTGACACGTCACCGCAGCAGTGCTGGGCAAAGGTTGCTTGTGCATCCAGAGCGTGGCTCCTTCCAGGGACCCACTGGCACATGCCCTCCATGGGTGAGGTGAGCACACGGATCCTGGGCGGATCCTGGGTGAGAAAAGCATAAAGACAAGAGAGGCAAAG